GTGAGGCAGCCATGCTCTGTTCCTCACCCCACTTTTATTCCTCTGATATTTCTCATTCATTCATTCACTATCCCTTGTTCAAGTATTCATGCATCTATTCATTTGTTCATTTGTTGAACATGTTTCAGTGTAGTCAAGGTTCAACAATAAAGCAGACAGTCTGTGCCCTCAAAGAGCTTGGTCTGATGGGGAAAGCTGGCAAGACAACTGAACAAAGGCTCTGGGTGCTATAAGAGGGGTGCAGAGCAAACAGGGTGGGGACTCTGTGGAAAGAGGGAAATCAGAAGAGGCTCCACAGCAGAGGGGGCTGAGATGAGCCTTTAAAATGTTTGCAAGTGAACAGAGAGAGAGAGAGAGAGAGAGAGAGAGAGCGTGTGTGTGTGCGCGCGCATGCTAACTGGAGCTTGGGAGTTTGGGTGGCATCCTAGTGAGAATACAATTCAAACACATGAACAAAACAGGAAATGATGGAAGACTGGGCTGGTCCATTCTGGGGAATGAAGACGATAAGAAACCATGTACAAAGGATTCAAAGGAAGGGTTAAAGAGCTGAGAAAAGTTGAAGGGGCTATAGGGGAATGCATAGAGGGTAGGGAGGGGGCATATAGGTTCCAACTGGACAGGATCTGGGCCACACATCAAACAAAATGGCAGACAGCTCTTAGAAGAATGTAGGCATATTTCTCACAGGTTAAAGATTCTGAAAGCCCTCGACTCAGCTCACAGCTGCAGGAGGAGATCTTCTGCGTGGTCATAGGGCAGCCAGAGGTCCATAGGTCAGTTTGCCCTAGATCTGTGCCCAGGAACAGGTCCCAGGCCAGTCTAGCCCAATATCCCTAGAGGAAGGGTCTTTGCTCACATTACCCCCTCCACTTGGAAAGCCCAAATCACGCCATTAAAGTCCTACACACCCTTCATGGTTCTGCTCCAGGGCACCTACCCAGGAAGCCCTTCTGTAGATGATCTCCCCTCCTGGATTCCTATGGGACCTATGTCCGTAGTTCCATCCTGAATTAAAACCACCAATGGACTTGCTATTCCTCTCAACTGTTTCGCTCTTTCCATTAAGAGAGCCTCATGTTAATACCAAGCTGTGTGTATCCTCTAAGTCAGCAGTCATGCAATATGGCCAAGCCCATTAAAAGTGGCTTGGACAACCCCTCTGAACGTCTCTGTGGATACAAAGGATCCGGAGATTTGAAGGAAGCAGGAAAGGGAGACAGACAAGGCTCCTGGGCCTGGTCAGACTTTCTTGTACTCTCTTCCCCCCCAGGAGACTCTCTGGAATTATGTTTTCCCTCTCTGTTTTGGGTTGAGTCTATGTTTAGTCCCTGGAGGGGCAGCCATTATTTTCTTCAAGGTTTCAAGGGGGTTCAGGATCATCTCATATTTCTCTGTTTGGCAAATAGTCAGTGCCCTGCCTCCCCTCTCCGGAATCAGGAATCCCAGAAATTAAAGACCGAGGGAGTTGGGTTTCTTTCTAAGAAGGAGCAGCCACAGCAGATGCCAGTCAAGCCCCAGAAATCCAGCCAGGAGGGGGCACACAGGGTCTTGGGTTTTCTGGGAGGCAGGAGGGGAAAAGTCCTGGATAAGATACTCTAGTACTGCAGGGGGCAGGCTCAGGTTCCTAGCCTGCAGCAGAGAACCCTTTCTTTCAAAATTACATCTCAGCCAGCAAGGACCAGCAGCAGCCATTCTGCTCTCTGCAGTGGACACGTTTCTCTTTGGGTGGGGAGAGAGGGAAAAGCAGCTTTTCATGCTAGAGAGGGGTTGGGAAGGAGCAAGTCCCAGCTGAGGGAAGCAGGCCTAGCCCAGATGCCAGCAGACAGGGAGCAGGAGCAGGAGGAGGGATGGGAAGGAGCCAGGCTTCTGAGCAGAGGCTTGAAGATGGCAGGCGGTTGCTTACAGGAAGAGCAGAGCTGACACCTGAATCTTGGCTTGCTTCCCCCGGAGAGCACTTTAATGAGGTTCACAGCTGTAATATCACAGAACGAGCATTAACAATGCTAATTACCTAAAGTTTAGCCTGAACATTCTCAACCAACCCGCCTTGGGGACACACTTTCGTTCTGGCCCTGCTAGGCTGAGGCTTATGACCATGCTGTGACAGCAGGGCACTAGAGGAGTCCGGGGTGGGAGGTGGGTAGGCCAGTAATGTCTGCAGGTTGCAGAGACCTGTCAGGAGAGGACACAATGAGACCTCCTGGTGCTGAATCAGTGCCCCTTCACCCTGCCCGTGAGAAACTTGCACAGGAAGCCTGGTGGGGAGGCCAGGTCCCCCAAGAGAGCTGGAAACAGACTGTGTCCTTTCGTCTAGTCCAGTCCAGTCCACTCCCTTGTACCTGGAGAAAGTCAGGTCTCCTCCTCCCACTGCTTTCAGTAGCCTCAGGGGACTCCTTGTGCCCCTGCTCACCATCCAGCCCCCAAGATGGTTTCAAACTGCTGTTTCTTTTAAAGCAACAGAACCATCCATAAGAAACATCAAACCAGAGCTGTGCTCGCCAGTGACTTGAGTTAAAGTTGGAGCTCAGGAACCTTCTTTCCATCCCTGTCCCTTGGGCCTCTGGGCATTCTGGAAGTCCATCCCAGAATTCTAGGCCTCTACCGAATCAACTTGGAAGATCACTGCTCTGGAACGGTCTAAGCCTCTGGCACCCTTTTGTCCCATGTCATCCCAAGGCAATGTGGAGACAGGTTTCGCCAGGTGCCCCAGACGGTCTCCGACTTGTGCAAGCTCAAGGGCTGAAGGACAGGCATGGTCATTTGTGTGCATGTGTACCTTGATCCCCTTTGCTTCTTGCCCAAACCTGCCTGAATCTAGCAGCCCTAGATTTACTGAGCCTCATGCCAATATCTATAAAAATTAAAAGTCACCCAGCTAGATACTATAACACCTAGAACTTCTGCTTCCTCTCCAGCAGCCTTTCTGCTAACCCAAGGAGAAAGAACCATGTTGTATCCCTATTACAACTCACACCTTTGATGTCCCTACCACGGGACAGTAACATTAGCCTCTTATCTCTGGCACCTTCATCTGCCCTCCCTACTCATCACCATTCCATGCTTTTTCCTCTCCCCAAGGACAGAGCAAAGAAAATCCATTCTGCTCTACCTCTGACTGAATGTCCTTTGGCTCCCTTCAATGTTTCCCCTCCCTCTTCCATCCTGCCAACTTTCTCAACTGACAGCAGTTTCTGGTCTGTTAGTGACTTTTCTAGGCCCAACAGACCAAAACCCTTTTCTCAGCAGCTGGTAGAATGAGACTGTCTTAGGTCTTTCAAACCACTGGAACGAAATACCTTAAACTGGGTTAGAAACTATGGAAATTTATTGCCCACAGCTCTGAAGGCTGGGAAGTCCAGGATCAGGATGCCAGCAGGCTCGGCGTCTAGTGAGGGCCCATGCCTCAGTCACTATCATCACACTTCCACCTCAGGTGACGAAGGGGCCTGAAGCCTCTCTTGGGTCTCCTTTATAAGGGCACTTAACCGACTGTGAGGGCTCTGCCTCCATGAGCTAATCCCCTCCCAAGACCCCACCTCCTGATACCATGGCCCAGGAAAGGGGACTTCAACGTAAGGTTTTAGGAGGAACATAGCACTCAGATCACAGTAGACTGGGATGCAAAGCTGTGGTCCCTGGGGTTAGGACAGCAGCATACACAGCCCTCGGTGCAGAGGAAGGCATGTATGTGGGTGTGTTTGTCCTCTTTTCCTGCCTGGACTTTGTAATGAGCCCAAGGCCCTCACGCTGCTGGAATCAGCAGTTCAGCACTGCAAGTGCAACTGTCACCTGAGGCCACTTTGGGTGAAGGCCTGGCCTTTTTGCTCTGGCCCCTGGATTTGGACATCACTCCCTCTGCAGGGAAGGTTCAACAGCCTGTTCAATGGCCCATGTCTGCAGCAATAATCAATGACTCTGCTGCTGAAATAACAGGCCACCTCATGCTGACAACAGCAATGCCTGAAGGCTCAGGGATGACTCCTTGAAGAACAGGGAGCATGTACTCAGCGGAGGAGCCAAAAGGGACATGGTATCCCCCTTGCTGTGACCTCCTGTACCCTACTGACACACACAAGGTGGATTCCCACTAGAAGCACACTGAGACCTGGCCTTCCACTCCCCTAACCGTACCCCACTCCTAGCCCATTGTGCATAGTATAATTGTCTATCTGGTGCCTGCCTTCTGGCCAAACCATAAGCCCCATGAGGGAAGGGGGCTTTGTCTTCCCCAATGTGTCCCCAGCAGCTAGCTCATGGTAGAGGCTTGGTTATTTATTTATTTATTCGTCTTTAATTTAGTTTTGGAAAACTGACTCTTCACTTGCAACTTGGGGAAACCAATCCCCATGTGGAACAGGAGTCCTGAACCCAGAGGCTGTTCCTTTAAGGCTATTGCCAAGCAGATTCTGGAGATTCTGGGGGCAGGTGTAGCTTCTGTGCAACTCCTTGCTTCTTGCCCAGCACAGCCATCTTGTCACCTCTTATGGAAGACCTGAGAGGGAAGGAGGAAGAGAAGGAGGGGGAGAAGAGGAGCCAACTTCTAGAGGCCCCTGGACCCAAGGCCTTTCGGCCCTACCATGTTCCCCACCTCTGCTGTGATCATCTCTGAGTCCTAACCTTCCCTCTGCCAGAAATCCCAATGAGCTGGCTTTGGAAAGCCCTGTGATCTTCACAGAGGAGTCTCCTGCAAATGAGCTGCTACACTGCTGCCAGTGAAGCTCTTGGTTGAGGCCTGAAGTGGTGATGCCTGCTGTGAAAGCTACCAGGGTGGTGGCTTCCCTGGAGCCAGTGTAGGATAGAATTCCATCACCAGGGAGCTCCTGGAGTCTTCTTATAAGCACCAGATGCTTCTTTAGCATCTGATGCACACACATGCACACACTCACAACACACTCCCACTCCACACCACAACAGGATAGGTCTCCACCCCAGCACAATGCACCCATGTGCAATTGGTCTTTTACATATTAGGGGGAAAAAGAACCGAGAGTTCCCAGGAGTTTTAAAGCCTTTTATTTGTTTACACATTCTCTAAATTGCAGACAAAAGATTTGCTACATGGGTAGTCTACACTGATAACCAATCACAGAACAATATACTAACCACAGCAAGGAAGAGACGGGGGTTTGTGACTCAGTCTTTATGAATGTGCAAAGGTCCCACTAAGGGACCAGGATATCCAGGGGTTCCAAAGATAACAGTTGCTGGATGCCCACATTGATCAGCATCTCATGAGCTTGCAGTCGTGACCTCTCCAAGGTCCCGCTCCCAGACCCTGTGAGGTCAGGAGGAAAGGCAGGGAGGGGGAGGGTCCAGTTCATGCTCAGCCCTTCTGCCAGCCTTCTCAATGAAGAACAGTTGCTTCTCCCTCCCAGCAAGTCCTAGGTCAGTAAGCCGGCATCCAGATGTGAGCTGTTTCCAACCTGTAGATTCTCCTGGAGACATTCACAATACGCCAGCCTGTCCCCTTAGGATGGCGCGAGATGTGGCACAGCCGCATCTCCAATACTGAAACATCAAGAGATCTTGACACATCCCTTAGACTGGGCAGAAACATCACAGCACTTTTCACATTAAGAGCCACAATTGACACCTGGGAGAAATGTGCATTCCTAGAAGACAGAGGACCAGGGTGCGCACGCACACACCTATAGATAGACAACAATCACATCATACCTGAAAGAGGAGGAGAGCTAGCACAGTGGAGGATGGGGGTGTTGTTTGCTTGTTGCTATGGTTGCTTTTTAAAGAAGGCAGAGGAAGCCAAATGGAAATATTGTCCTCAGACCATTACACACAGCTTCCCAAATCTGCAGCCCTTTTCTTTAACCTCATGAAAGCTATATTGGCCTCAATGTTGCACATTGAGGCCAAGCAGCTCAAGGCAAAAACTCTAGTTGTTCAGTCAGCAAGAGGCAATGTGGTGTTGGGTCCCAAGGTCCAAGGGGATCAATGTTCAAGAGCATAAAATAAAGCCCCTCAGTCATAGGAATTTCTAGTGCTGCGGGCCAACTCTCCTGGTCGTTCTTTTATGACCGAGTTTCAGAGGAGTTGGGGCAGGGGGTAAAGGCAAAAAAGCATATTAGGATGCTGGTGATAAAAGGCTGGAACAGCCTCCTTCTCTTGTGCCCACTCCAGAAAGCGTGTGCATCACATCTACAGGTCGAGAAACGGACACAAATGACCGGAGATCATCATAGCCTTTCAAGGTCCTTTCCCAATGTAGCCCAAAGCAGTTCAGGGCAGTAAAGTCCTAAGACTGTGAGGCAACCCAGGTAGATTTAGCAGCTGGGGCACAGCAATGGAAACTACAGTCTTTCTGCAGGTGCTCGTGCCTGACCCAAGCCTAGACTTTCATGCCCTGCATGGAGCCTGCACAGGCCCACACTCCGCACAGGACAGCAGGACAGCCACCCCCCTCACCCTGCTACTCCAGGAGCCTCCTACCTATTCCCACCCAGGGGAGCCCCAGGGTTCATAAGCAAGGGCAGCCCTTGCCAAAGCCACCACACCAGCCCCTCCCCGAGAGGAGACAGAGGGGCTTGGGCAATGAGAACAGAAAGCCAGTTTCTTTTGGCTTCCTGGTGAAGATGCTCCACATCTTGGCCACCAAAAAGAAAAAGTTCTGGAAGCTGAGCTTTAAGATGTGGAAGGGGAGCAGAGCTGGCTGGGGAATTGGTTCTGGCTCTCTTTCGAATCCAGCTGTGCGACATGGACAGGTATGCCAGTCGTTCTCACATGTCCATTTCCTAAAGGTCCAGCAGGCCAGCTTCAGGCTGAGAAGGGGTCTGACAGTGCACACAGATGGAAGGGGTGAGAGATCCTCTAAGAGCTCTGCCCACTGGGATCTCCATCCCTCATGGACCTGAGGGCCTGAGGGCTCAGGGTCCCCTGCCAGCTTCTTGGGATAGGGCCACAAGTCTGGCTTGGATAGAATCCAAGTCAGATGGCCTTCCTCTCTCCACTCCACCAGTGCTAGGGACAGGGGTAAGCCTACATTCACAGGCAATTTTGTTCTGAAGAATCTTGCCTACGGGCTTCCACGGATGGACCAAACCCCAGGAGACATTTCCACCTCTCAAGCACTTTAAGGACAGATTCACAGCCAACCCTTGAGTCCTCTCCATAGAAGTCACCAAAATCCTCCTTGCTCAGAGTCGTGGGCCTAGAAGAGCCTCTCAGTGTCTCCCACAGAGAAGCCAAAGGCTGCTTTAGACCAGCCCTGAGCTGACCTCTCCAAACAGGAAGATGCCTTCCCCAAGCCAGACATTTCACTTGGAAGCCAGCCTGTTGTGGCTTCTTCAGGGAATAGCTGAACCCCAAAGCCTGGCTCTGACATGTACAGAGAAAAAGGGAGATGGAATAAATGGTTTATTCCTGATGCTGTCAATACAGACAACTGGCAGTCAAATGAAGCATGAAGCTAGGATCTGAAGAGCCCCTGACCAAAGGCAGGCAGAGGAGGTTTACTGAAAACATCTCTGACAATGAGCTGTGTGTGCGTGCACACACACACACACACACACACACACACACACACACACCAGTCATGTGGGAACAGGCTCCTGGATGCTGAGCCTACCTTGCTTTCCTTGCTGGGCTCCCCGTGGGAGTCCATCTAATCTGTGCACTAGGCTCCCACCCCACCTCCTCTGCTGCTCCAGCAGGGCCTGAACAAGACTATCATGTGAGTCACTTTCCACTGTCAATCAGACACTGATGATTGCACTTCTCCACCCTCCACCCCAGAATCTGGAAAGCAGCATTCAGAGACACAGCCTCAGATTCCCTGGCTACTCAACACACTCCAACTAGATGCCTTCATCATCTTGCTGCCTCTGAGGTGAAGGATGTTCCTCTTCCAAGGGCAGCCAGCATTTGGAGAAACAGAAAAGCAGCTAGGCTGAGGTCACTTGTGTTCTTCTCCCCAGCCTCCAGGAGGTAGAAATAACCAGATGTTTTACCCTGCTAGTCTTTCACTGATGAATATACAACCAAAGCAGAGACCCAGATACAGATACACCTTCCCATGAGGCATGATGCTTGACATATGATTAGGATTCTGAGGGAGAATTTAATTTTACAGCTAAAAAGCAACTTGTAGGCTAGGCCTGCATGTGGTTTATTTTTCTAGCTCCTATAGTACCTGGAGCATTGCTTTGCACATAGTCGAGGCCCTGCCAAGTGTTTTAGCCAATACCAGTCTGTGCAGCAATCACTCTTGGCAAGCAGGAGATGTGCCCATTTGCTTTCAGAGACAAAACACCCAGCATGGACACACAGCAGGTAAGTGGTGGACAGCTAAGATGGATACCCCTTTCCCTGCCAGAGGAGCACAAGTGCTTCATAAACACTGATCAGTTCTTTCCCAAGCATCCTCCCCAAGTGCCCCATGGACCAGGGGCACTGGTTAGCCAGGACTCCCTGCCTGCCTCCCCGACCTGTTCCCTACCTCCTGAGCTCTGAGATAAATGTTCCATATTTTTGTGCACTCACTCACACATTATCTAGCAATGTTTCCTCTGCTTATTTTGTAGGCCCTAATTTAGACCTCTTCAACTACATGTTGAAAAGGCACACAGCTATATTTTCTTCTCTTGGATTATGCCACTGTTTTGTTCCACCACCGCTCTGCTCTTCAGCATCCTGCTTGGCAGGAGGGAAGAAAGGGAAAGGTACAGGGAAGGGAAAGGCAGGAGAAGCAGAAAACAAAGGTCTCAGCGGGCAATAAGCATGAAACGATGAAGTCAATAAAAACCCCAGCCCCCATTCTAGCCATAGTCTTTGCATCCCTTTGATAGCAGAATTGTGACATTTTTTACAAGTCCTCAACTATTACTAAATATCTCTCCCAAAGAAGCAGAGGTGAGTGAGAGGAGAGGTGGAGAGAGTTGGTGGAACCAATGGCTTTCTCAGCTCAAGGCCCCCTTTACAACAACCCCTGTGGCTGTGCAGGGGCCGGGCACTTGAGTTCCTGGGCTGCTGAAGACTGCACAGACTGCATCTGACAGCTGCTGAATCTCCCATCCTGGGGCAACATCAACAGTTGCCTTTGATTCATCAAGCAGGTTGTGTGCGTGCACAGGCGTACACACACATCTCTGTTCTCGTGGATGTTAATATTCATTCAGAGAGTTGAGCTAAGGAGATATGGAGAGTGTAAATTTAACTCAGGGAGTGTAGGGTTGTGTTGTTGAGGGAATACACAGGCCCCAGGGGCTTACAGCCACCCCCTCTTCCTACAGGGATTATTGCCTGCCCACTGCTCCACTTACTTGCCAGGCTGAGCTGGTGCCAACCTGGACAGCCATCTTGCTCACTGCCTGGGCTAGAAGGCATTATTAGTAATTAAATTTCTGTCCAAGAGGGTTCTGGCTGCCTGCCAGTCCCAGTGCTGCCTTCCTCTGCCCTGCCCTGGAAAATGTCACCATTAGCACAAACACTGCTTTTTCGTGGTGAGGCCAAAGCAGGGGAAACCATGGAATGTCCCTCTTTCAAGGCCACTGGCCCCACAACTTCCATCAGGCATTGGAGCAAAGAAAGAGAGGGAGGTGGGGACAGAGATTAAACCAACAGGCATTCCGGGGCCCTCTGGCCTGTGACATCCCTCACAGTCTCGGAGGCACTGGGGATCACCTCAGTCTTATTCTCCTGGAAAACTCACTTGATGTGGAACTGGCAGGCAGGGACCCCATCACAACTGCTGCCAGGGCTTCCTGAAGGCCTTTCCTCTGACTCTTTCTTCACAGCCTGGCTAGAAGCATTCAAAGGAGCCCCACAGCCAAGGCTTCCTGGGAGCAGCTGCTGAGGCGCTCCACAGGGGGGCTCTATTCACCCTCCCAGGTCCAGGTGCCGAACCATTGGCACTTGCCTCCTCCTATCCCCTCCTTCCTCTCTGAGCAAGTATCCCACCTGTGCCTCATAAAGACCAGAGGATCTCCAGCCTCCTTAGAAAAGGATTCCCAGCTCTCAGAGGCCCCCGTCTAGCTGCCCCAAAGGCCCTGAACCAATCCATCCAGACTGTTGTTTCTATACTCAGGGCAGAGAATCGTAAACATACTGAAAGCCTAGGAATGCTCAGAAAGAGGGAGGGAGCCCCAAATCAGACAGCTACAGACCCCACCTTCGGAGGACAGATAAAAAGACCCTAGAACAGTTGGGGTTTGGTTGAGAGGACTTGCAAACTGAGATGAATTAAAATGTCTGTTCCTTCCTACCATCCTCCTCATTCCTTGCCTGGTATACTAATGCAATTGGATATCTGAAAACCAAAGGCATCCTTTGTGAGTGGGAGAAAAATTCCAAAAAGTGTAACACAGTGAGATCTGGGCGGGGCGGGGGGGGGGGTCATGTCACTCAGCCAGATGCAGGGGACAGGACTGACCCTTCTTCCCAGGTCCCCTTCCTCACTGTATACCAAGGCATGCCAGCCTACTAAAGTACTAAAGGTGACACCAATGTGCTACCCCTGAGAAGAGCTAGGCCTGGGATTCAGGACATCTTCAGTGAGAGAGAGAATGTAGTTCTGGCCATGGGGAGTCAACTTCACCCTTGAGGTGCACACTGCGATTCTCTAAGGAGGGGCCAAGGTTGGGTATCAGGGTAGTGGGAGAGGAAAGGGAAGCACAAGCTAGAAACAAGCTAGAACAGGCTTGGGGAGTGGCAAGCAAGGTGGTCCTCAGGACCTGCCTGGGCCACCAGCCAAGCACATGTGGACTCCAAGAAGAGACTTGCAGTCCCTTTTATCTGAGTCTGGAGCCTGAGGTAGCCAGTAATCTTTCTTCAACAACACAGAAGAGCACAGGTCTCCTAAACTTGGCCCCAAAGGAAAAGTAATAACAACCATGTCATTTTTCTTCCTTAAAATATCTGGACTTTTTAAGGGGAGGGCTGGAAGGAACCATGCTGAATTCAAAGCATGTAGATAAGAAATGCACCAGAAGTGAAACTCCCCAGGGTGTCACAGGACCTTCACTGTGAAATGCAGACCCTCTCTGCTATCAAAACCAGCTATCAAAACCAGCTATCTTCCCTAGCTCTGAGGGAACCTGGCCTCCCTCCCATCTACCCACAGGGGTCTGAGCCTGAGCCACAGGAAGCAGCTGCTCTCTGCAGCCCAGCTCTGCAACCTTGCGTGGGTGGGCTCCTACCTGGCCCCAGGCAGCAACAGAACAGCAGAGCCTTGGGGCTCACTGACTCCTGCCTCAGGTGCTGAGAGTCAGGGCCTGGTGGAGAAAGAGGGCTGGAATATAAATCTCTGAACAGGGGCCTAGTTTCTCTTTCCTCACAAAGCTGCCTTCCCTGGATTTACTACAGGCTCAAAAATTAGTGTTTCAAAAATGTCAAGAAAGCTGGGGATTTAGCTCAGTGGTTGCACTGCCTGCCTGACAAGGGCAAGGACCCGAGTTCGATTCCCCAGTACCAAAAAAAATGCAAGAAAGAAGCAGGATTTCATCTTCCAGCAGTTCCTGCAGCCTCCCCTCTCTGGCCTGCTTGGAGACCCAGGGATTAAGTGGAGCAGAGGCCCCTGGCTATTCCAGAGATTTGAGCTGGGAGGCAATAGCATCATTTAGAGGCCTCTGTGTAAAATGACAATTGCTACCACAGAATGGGAGCCTGCATTACACCACACCAATGCCACTATTACTCTAATCCCTACAGTCACGTGGCTACACAGAGCATGTGGGTCAGGAGGCTCAGAGAGAGGAAGTCACTTTCCCAAGATCAACCAGTTAGAACAAGGCAGAGCAAGGCTTTAAGTCAAGGTAAGAGTGAGTGTGACACCTGAGGGGAAATGAACTCTACTCTCTGCAGAAGGGAGCTTTCCATTCCAAGCTGTTTAATCTTGTAGAAGGGAGTATCTGGAGTATCTTCATTTGGAAGCACTCAGCCACATGGTAAATCCCACCTCCCAAGATGCCTATGCAAAGTCAATCTCCTTGGTCACAGCCCTGGCCTAATGGCCATCACTATAGGGAGCCTGGCCTCTTGAATATAAATCCCCTTGAGTCTAAGGGAGATCCCAAGAAGGCATCTAACTTGGCTGTCACATGAGAAGGCAGACATAAAAAGCATTTGGAGTCCTGCCCAGATCAGCTGTGCTCTGCAGTGGTTGCTCACGAAATATTTTTAAGACTCCCAGCAGGAACCGACTGGGCAAGAGTTACCATCTCCATTTCATAGGTGGACAAAGTGAGGTTTAGGGGTGTTAAGTGACTTGCCTGTGATCACAGTTATTCAGTGGCAGGGGCAACACTGAAACCCTGATCCTTCACATGTACCTTAGGATTCCATCTCATTCTCAGGGGTTCAAATAAGCAGACCAATCTGAAATCTACCAACAGCTTTCTTTTACCAATGCAGAAGGTAATAAATGTGACTGTGGACACTTTAGTCTGCTTGCACAACCCCAGCAATGCCATTCTGCAAGCTGCTCTGCTATACCCACGTTGGATGGGGACATTGAGGCCCACAAAGAAGGAGAAGTTCATTACTTCCCACTCTGCAGGGAGCAATAACTGAGAACAGAAGCCTGGGGATTTTCTAATGTGATCCCAGAGCCCAGACCAGCCATGCAATGGCAGGCAAGCTTCAGTGCCCTACCTTGGCTTGAGAGACTCATCCACCCTCAGCTCCATGAGCTGGGCAGACATGGCTGGGGGTAGAGCAGACACCCATCATCTGCATTGCCATGGGGAATGGATTTGCACATTCTCCAAAAAAGGCCCTGTCAAGTTATGAAGCCACGATTCTTGATTTCAGATTTGTCTTTTCAACTTTTAAGACACTATGGCATTTGGAAATATTTAGGAATTCTTTTCTTGTAATCAGTTTAAAATGACTCTTCAAACCAATAATCAGCCTTTGAGGAGACCTTGCTTTGGGTTTTGTGGAAGGACAGTGAGACAGAACAGTCAGGAAACAAAATGTGCCCCTCCAAAATGACCCTTCCAGCCCTGCCTTGGACCTTCAGAATCCAGACCAGCTCACCAACTATCAGGAGGAAGAAAATAGCTTATGAGGAAGATGAAAATCCCATCTGGACAGGGCCCCTTTAAAAGAAATCATTACATATGAGTGTAACTCACTCTGAGGCCAAGGGGCCTGCAGGAGAGTGACCCCCATTCTTTTGCCACAGGTCATTCTGCAGAGGAGAAAGAGAAAGAACCACATGGTTTGGCTCAGCGCCAGGCTGCCCTGGGTCCACTGGCCAATAGCAATTGGATAGCTCCTGCCGAGTCACAGAGCAACACTACAGCCAGGCAGAAGCGGCCCAACTAGCCCGAGTCTCCAGGGGCTACTTCAGGAGCCAAATGACTAAAAATAACCTGGGTCTTTGATGTACGCTGCTGGACCACAGAGATGGAGCTGATTTCAGGAGCACTGAGCATGCGCGAGGGCCCCACTCATGGAGACCTGCCCTTTGGGCAAATGATTTTTCCAGAAATGTGTTAGTTATTGTTGCTGTTGCTGTGATTCAAAGACAGTCCAAGCCACTCCAGCCTGCAGAGCTGTCCTCCAAAACACAGTTCTCAGAATCTACGGCTCCCCACCTCCTTCTTCTGGAAACATTACAAAAGAAGAAAAGAAAAGAGTCCAGCTCATATGGGAGTTTAGGAGACAAGAATAGCCTACATGTTGAGGGTTCAAAATCATTGCCACCTTATTACAAATAATCACATTACCCTAACCATTCATTTAAGTTACAATTATCCATCCTCCATCCTAAAATTTTCAGTCAGATCTCTGTAGACAATAGCAAACTTACACCATGTGGAAGGAAGAAATTACTTGGGAAAAGGAATTCGTAGTGTCTCATCAATACTGAAGAGTTTCTCAAAGCTGAGGCCCCTGTATCCATCATTTGGACGTGTGAGTGGGAGCCTTTGCTCATTTGATTGGTGCTTGATTCCCACCAGGAGAAGCTGAGCCAGGCCTGTACAATCAGGTCAGTTGGAGGCAGAGTCTTGAACATCTTCTTCTAACCATAGGCTGTGGTTTCTCTCACCTCAAGGATTCCTTAGCTCTGAAGGGTAAGGAACTAGCCCGGTCCCTTGCCAAGTCTCTCCTCATGAATAATAAACACTGCCTGGCTATAGCAAGCCTTAACATTATTTATCAATGTTTCTTTCCATCTCTCAGTCCCTCCCCATCCCCTATCAAGTGAAAATGCAGTCAATCAAGACTACCCCAGCTGTAGAAGCCAATGTTAAGTTCTTCCTCTTCACAAAGATCAAGGAACAAGAAGGGGTTTCAAGGCTCCATCCTCAAGATGGCCTCCAGGATCCAATTCTAGAATTTTCCAGTGGCTTGAAATAAGCAACAACTTCTCCACAGTACTTTGTTCCTCTGGTGAAAATCTAGGATGAAGAGCCTAAGCTGGAGGTGAAGAAGCTGTGCAAAGATGTCTTAGAACACAATAGGTTAAAAAAAAAAAAAAAAACACCAAACTGCACACAAGTGTTTGATGAGTGGTCACAAAATGGCTTCCCTTAAAATGGAAACCAGTGAAAGAGTCACAGTACTAAGGTAAAAGTGAGAGGGGTTCCACAGGACTGGGGTTGGGGTTGGAGTTGTTCTTCAAAAGTGCAAAATTCTTCTGGTAGAAACAAGGAGGTGCTGGCTGAAGTACCATCTGTGGGGCAGAGGTAAGAACATACCTCACCCTCTGGGTTCCACGTGTCCACACCCTTCCATGAGTATTCATTTTCCCTAAAGTTGGTCTGTCTGGATATGTGGGAGGAGGGCTTCATCTGGTTCGATCTGGGCTCTGGCTCAGCCTCTCCAGCATCAAGTCACTCTGTGACCTGGGGCTCTAGGCCTGGCAGCCAAAGGCTGAGGCTTTCTCTTTGAGCAGCTCCCAGCATAAGTGGCAGCTCCAGCTTCCTAGAAAAGACAAGATGGCATTAGTAGCAGCCCTTCTTCTAACACTCAAGTCCCAACTCAGTTGCCCTAACTTCTTGTCAACTCTGTTTTCCTTTGACTTTCACAATTCAGAGACCAAGCCTCAGTCCTGCAGACACACTGGAGTCTTGTTCCTCAGAAAGAAAATAAAGACCCTTACTTCTTGGCCATTCCTCATTCCCCTAGAAGCTCACCCCTCCCCACATCTCGGCCACGTGTCTAAAGAATATTTCCTTGGCCCTCAAGTTGAAATTTCAGCTGGTTGAACCATGCTTCAGTTTCCTCATGTGTAACATGATAGTGATTGTACCTACCTCATAAGGTTGTGATGATTAAATGAGACAAGACATGCAAAGCCCTTAGCACAAGGCCTGCACCATAGTGAGGGCTCAGTAAGTGGTAGGAGTAGTGGCTGATGTTGTTATTGTTGACCTCATCATCATTACCTTCTGGGGGCTCAGCCACTGGGGGGTTTAAACAGTACATGTGATAGCCACGGTCACAGTCATCACAGAAGAGTAGCTGGTCCTAGTGGAATAAGAGCACGCACAGAACATAGGAGAGATTCAATTATTCAGGGCCAATATCTGGCCCCTGCTTATTCCTCCAGGCTCATTTCCACAGATCAACTACCTTGACGCCCCTTTCCAGGTCCTATTTGGAGTCCTCCTTAGCCCTTGAGTTTGGCTTGTGCTTTGCCTGTACCTGGAATTTCCCTTTCTGTTTACCAGCCTAACACATCCTATCCTCATCTTAGGGCTCTGCTTACCTCACACCTTCTCGAAGAAGCTTTCCCTGACTACCACTTCACAGCTAAGCTTAAAAGGATTCATTCTTCTTCCAAACTCCTGTAGCAAATAACTTTATTTCCAAAGGTCAGAAAATTAAGTTTATGTATTCTCTGTTCCCCATGATGACTGCCTAGTATATGGGAAATACTTTAAATATTTGAAATATTTAATTGAAGTAATTGGACTCCCTGTCCATGAAATGCACAACAGCTATAGTTGGTGGTAATATCCATGACCCATCAGACCTTCTTTAGGATTTCATGATATGAATGTAGAGCAAAATGCTATTCTTTGACTTCCAAAAGCCTCCTCACAGCCTGGAGGCTGGAGCTCCGATGAAGTCAGGAGAGAGGCTGATTTTGAAGGCTGGGAGACCAGTTAGGAGACTGTTAAAACCTCCCAGGTGATAGAGAATGGTGGCCTAAAATAAGGTTGTGACGTGAGGGAAAGAGATGGGTCTTGTTCCTGTTTCAGATTCACTGAGTAGATGTAGAGAATGATAGAGAAGAAGTCAAGAATGTCTTTATGGGTTGTGGATTAGTCAGCAAGTCAAATGACACAGTCAGCCACTGAGACATGGGCAGAAGAACAAATTCACAGGAAGAAGAGGACAACCTCAGCTGCAGACATGTCCCACAGACTGGCAGGTCACCTGGCAGGGATGACCAGAGGTTAGAGAAAGGTCTGGGCCTGAGAGATAGGTTTGGAAGCCATAGGTGAGCAGATGATAAATGAAGGTCCTAGGAAAGGAAGCCAAGGGGTTGTGAGAGCCAGTATCTTTGAATTTGTGCTCATAGAGGGATATTCGTGACCTTCTAGAAATGATAGTCACAACATTATATGTAGATAAGAATATACATTTTTCTGAGAAAGAGCAAGTCCATAGTTGTGATTGAATTCTCTGAAAGATCAAGGACTCAAAAGAGGTTACTGAGAAGAAATGCAAGAACAGATATTTGAGGAACACAAACTTTAAGAGATAGGCAGAGGACTAAGAGACTAAGAAGTGCAGTCTGGGAAGTAGGATGAAAACCAGAGCACTGAGATTTACTCCCAAAAAGTTGCACTATTATATCAAAGCTGAAGTAAGCTACATGATGATGTGATTTAGGGATAATGAAAAGTAAAATAAGCTAAGATGGGGCCAGAGAACAGAGAAAGGCTTGTCAGAAACAGTGTTACTAATGTCCTCAAGACATTAATAACCCCTATATAGTGCCAACATGAGAACCCTAAGAAGCTAGGATACCCTGGATTAGACTTTCCCAAAGGAAAGTCAGGTATCTGAGAGTTTACATTCATTTTTCACAAGTTGATCATGGTCTAGCACCATTTTCTTTTCTTTTTCACCTGTCTGTCTGATTAATTGCCTGTCAAAACCATCAAGAATTCACAGCTCATGCTAACCCTCATGAAAAACATAAGTTAATAAACTCCTACTCCCATGTATGCAAGAACCAGGATCCACCTATGGCTACAGTTCCAGTAGAATAGGAATTGCATTCTGAGATACATAGGGAACTTTTCGCCCCGTGTGAGAGGTGCGCTAATGCCTAAGCAACCTCCTGACTCTAGATTCATCTGCCTAATTCCTCCCCTGAGGCTCTACCAAGTCAACATTACAACTCTCCATCAACACTACTTATAAAGTCAAAGGCCAGAATCAACCCAAATGTCAATAGGAACTAACTAGTTGAATAAACTAATGAAGAACCATGCAACTGTAGGTAAGAATGAAGAAGATGCCTATTCGGTACTTGGGAATAATCTCTAGGATATTCAGTGAAAAAAGCAGGGTAGAGAAAACATGTACTGCACTTAGCAATTTTTTATGGATTCATATGGACATATGTATGCTTATATTTAAACAAAATGGAAAGATAAACCATAAAAAATGGTCACCCATAAGCAGAGTGAAGCAATAATGTGGAATAAGTAAGAATAGAGGCCAGATTTTCTTGAGTATATTATTGTTTTAAAGATCTGATTCTAGAACCAGTAAAATTTTACATAGTCATGAAACAAAATTAAAATTATACTATGTCCCAAGTAACAAAATAAAAATAACATAAATGAATATAATTGTGTATCCAGCTGGTGGCATATCAACAGACAGAAACTATTTCAAGTGATTTTAAAACAAGTAATTTGACCATACTTCCTTCTAATATATTAGTATATATTCCTAGAATATATCTTAAGGACAAAAACAAACATAAGTATGCACGTATGTTTTGGCCATTATATTGTAAGTGATAATATGAGAATTGATATTGTAAGATGGCTGTATATACATCAAATGAGTAATTACATTGATACGATTGAAAGGCAAGATTTTTGACATGGTTGAAGGAAAATACAAATGTAAGATCAATGAGGTTAAGTAAGAACTCTATAGTTAGTTCTGGATATGAACTGGAAGTATTAAAATAAATTCAAAATTTCTTTCTAGCTCTGTCCATTGAAAATCCTCCAAAATAATGACAAACACAGTAAAAATGACACCTCTTACATCCATATTGTATTCTCTATAGATCATTTTCCACTGAAAGGGCCAGAAGTCTTTGGAGAAATACCTCAGTCCAGGTCTGGTATATGAAATGTACAGATCATGTCAAAAGGACTTAAGTTCCAGCCTAAATACCTTCCCATTGACCAAAAATGGAAAAAATCTTAACAAATAAAATGTATTTAAATGTTTTAGTTTATAAAGATAGTATTTCTAAAAACTTAGTCACTGTTGGTAAATGTTAGGCAAACATTACATTATTTTTTTATTTAAATAACTTTAAATAAAATTATTTTGAAATAATTACTTTGGAAAAAATTGTTTTGAAATAATTTCAGACTTTAAAAAAATAAATACAAAATACTAGGCTTAAGTGCAAGGTCCTGAGTTCAATCCCTGGCACCAAAAAAACAAAAACAAAGTACTGGCTTATTCTTATTTTAGTAATGATAGACAAATGTGTATCCTAGAGAGAAACCTTTATAAAAGTATATGATTCTATAAAGAATCATAAGAAACTATGAGTTGTTTTCCAGAAGAATACTACTATTGTAGAATATTTAGAAGCAATTTTCTTGAGGAATAGTAAAATCTGAGGCAGACTCATTTGAAGTTAATTGCATATTTTCAGAACAGCATGAGAAATAAAATATTTGGATTTTAGTTACAAAAATGGTACAGGGGCCTGCCTGCCTCGAAACCTCAAGGTCCTGAGGTCGATTTCCAGTATCAAAAAAAAAATGGTACAGGGTTTCTGTACACATTTTACTCAGCTTTCCTTAATATTACCATATTCATTACCATAGTACAATCATGAAACAGGAAGTCATCACTGGTATGACACTTTTAACTAGTCTATAGACTTTATTCTAATTTCACCAGTTTTCTCACCTATGTCCCTTTTCCCAGGATCCTACCTTGCATTCACTGTGTGTTCTCATTTTCCTTCAATCAGTGGGGTCCTTCAGTTCTTTTGTCTATCATGATCTGGACACTTTTTAAAGGTATGGGTCAATGATTTGGTAAATGTCATTCATTTGAACTGGATCTTTTCTCATAAGATTGAGATGTGCATGTATTTTTGGCAAAAATACCGCTGAAGTTATGTTGTGCCCTCCTTAGTGAATCATACCGGGGGACATTGATGCTGGTATATCTTATTACTCATGATGTTAAGTGTGATATATAGCTAAGATAGTGATTGACAGATTCCCCACTACAAAGTTCATATTTTTCCATTTGTAATATATTAATAAGTAACTCTTATTGTGGAGATATTGTGAGATTATATATCCTGTTTCCCATCATATGTTTGTCCAGTAATTTTTCTATCAATTAATGCTTCTTGCTTACACCAACCATAGCTGTGATGTTTGCCTCAGTGATTTCTCTCTTCCTCCTACATTTATTCTTTGGAATTCTGCTTGAAGGAAGAGCTTACTTTCTCCCTCATTTATTTACTCAATATTTTATATAAGTATGGATATTTATTTCACTCTTTAGGTTACACTTTAATAGCCTCATTATTTTCTTTCTAAAAAATGCCTAGATTTGGCTATTAAGGATTCCTTCAAGTTGGCTCCTGTGTCCCTTAGATATGCCTTAATCATTTTCTGAGCACTAACTTACCTGCGGTCACCACAAGATGCTCCAGGCTCATCCTGTATATCTCATGCCCCAGCCCTGGCACCAGCCATTTCTTCAAAGATGGTTGATTCTTTTTACTGGAGAATGGTATTTAAAACAACTAAATATCTGGGTGTGAGTTCCCTGCTATTGCTGTCCAGCAGCCTCACCAGAGGACCAAAGCAATGGGACCACCAATCTTGGACTGGAACCTCCATAATCAGAAGCTAAATAAATCTTTTCTCTTAGTAACTTAATTGCTTCAGGTATTTTGTTATAGTAGCATGAAACTGATGAATACAGCCCTCCTTACCAGCAGATCTAGAAAATAAATGTATATGCAGGTGACATGTATACATCTATATTTATTTCTATATCTATCTATATATGTATGGACATATAGATATGTTGCATCCCATGGGTCTGGGGTCACCAGCCCACCCCTTGAAATTTCCTGGGCTGGCCTCTCATTCTGATGTGGAAAGAGCAAGAGGACTCAGAAGTCACAATGCAGAGTGAAAGTAGATTTATCGCAACAATGCAAAAATAAATGTATTTCAGAAGCAGTTCAAACCTCCTCTGATGAGTGGGGGTCCCAGAGCTGGGTAACTGCTAGATATAGGGCAGCAGACCTGTCTTTATGGGATACTGGCTGTCTCCACCTGCCCCCCCAAGAGGATCTGCACTTAAAATTGATTAACAGGCTCATTGCTATATGTACAAGGTCATACAGTGCATCAAGGGAATTATAGCACACAGTTTAGGAACATTTCAGGATGTTCAAACCACAAGGCATGAGGGGAACAATTTTGAGAGCCAGTCCAAGGTTATCTATTGAGTGGTGGGCTTGTTGCTTCAGAAGTAAAGCCACAAAACTGCCTCTTCTTAGTCACAGAGGCTACTTTTCTTCCTTCTAAGTGGGCCTATGTTCCTTACTCTAACCCTACCTAAGGGTTCTATCTTTCCCTACAAGTAGCTAGATATACTTAACATATTAAAAGCCATGAGTTTATGATAATGCCCCCAATACCACAGGGTTCAGCCCATCCTTCCCCTTTATTTGGTTATTCTTTCTCTGACATTGAGAAATTGGACTCTCATTAGTCATGATATACAGTTATTAGTTCAAATCTAGCACATATATAAAGTAGTTTCAGAATTACTAATTCATATACCCTTGAAAATAAGTTTACTAACTACAGCACTGTATTTGTGATGGAGTTATTTTTGTCTTTAGCCTTACAATACAGTCAAAATACTATTTCCAAAAATTGCTTAGGTTAATTGTTTTCCTCCCACTCTTCATTATGGTTGTGTTATCTATTCATATTATAATCAGGTTTATTTGCTAGTATTTGTATTCCATTTTAGGTTTTCTCCCATTCTGGTTGACTGTAATTATTTATTTGGGAGGGATGTGAAACCTTATCTTGATTCTAAGAGTCAGACCTATACAAAAAGATATTCTCAAAGAAATATCAGTCCTCCCTCAATTCTACTACCTCATTCTTACTTCATCATTCTTTCTCTACTTCATTCCCACTCACCTCTGTGTATAACCATCCTCATTGGCTTCTTGTTTATTCTTCCCATATTTCTTTCACACAAGTGCACTCATGTATACCTATTTTCTTACATCTCCTTTTTTCTTACCATAAAGGCAGCACACTAGACAGATATTACATTTTACATTGATTTTTCCCACTTACTTCTATATCCTGGAATGTATTCCATATCTACTCATACACATCTTTCTTATTGTTTTTTCCAGCTCCATAGTACTTCAACATATGGCCATGTCATTTTCTACTTAGCCATTCTTCTACAAATGGACTGAGGTTGCTTCCAATATTTTGCAATTATATATAATGCCACCATAAATAACCTTATGCATGCGTGTTTCCACAGTTTTGGAGATGCAGCTTCAGGATAAAGTCCTATAGATGAGTGCATAGTAATTTTGTTAGGTATTTCCAAATTTTCCTCCAGTATTATTTTGTACTCCCTCCAATAATATATGAAAGTGCCAGTTTTCCCATAGTTTCATCAACAGAAGGTATTACCATGTCTTTAAAAAATTTTGCCCATTAAATACATATAAAATAGTAACTTGGTTTTGAGTTTTTAAAATTATGAGTACATTTGAACATTTATTTTACATGTTTAAGGGTCATTTTTATACCTTTCGTGAATTTTCTTTCTTGTACTTTTCTCATTTCCCAGCAGGTTTCTGATCCTCTGTCCCTCATTTTTAAAGAATTCTTTATAATACTAGGGATGTTTGCCCTTAATGGTACATGCTGCAAATACTTTCTTCAAATTTGTCAGTTGTCCTTTGACTTTATCATATTTTTGACTATGCAAATTTTACGGAGTCTGATCTATCAATATTTTATTTCATGGTTTCTGGATTTTGAGACACAGTTAGAAAACCTCTCCCTGTATTTACATTAAAGAGGAATTCACCCATGTTTTATTCTAGCACTGGCACGGTTTTACTTTTCACATTTAGATCCCCAATCTATTTGGAGATTGTTCTTATGTCTGATGTGAGATATGAATCTAATTTTGTATTTTCCCAAATGGCTACTCCATTGTCCCAGTATTATTCATTAAAAAGTCTATCTTTGACACAGTAATTTTAGATGCAACCTTTTTCCTATACTGTATTTCCATATGTAGGTGGGTCTATTTATGGACTTTCTATTCTATTCTATTCCAACAGGTCTGTTTGTCTACTTAGGCATCAGTACCACACTGCTTCATAGAAAGATGTGTCCAGTGGGTTTAGATGTCTGGGAGTGCCTGTTTCCAACCTAGTTTGCTTATCAGTATTTTTTAGATATTCTTGCATGTTTGTTTTCCCATGTAAATTTAAATATCAATTTGCCTACCTCTATAAAAATCATATTGATATTTTTGTTGGTCCTGAAACAAATTTGCAAATAAACTTAGGAAGAAGTGACATCTTTATAATGTTAAGTCACTGGATCTAAGGTCACAAGATGTTCTTGTTTCTTTTCAAAAGTCCTTAAAAGTTTTTTTTATATAGGTTTTGTACATTTGTTGTTAAATATATTCCTAAGTGGGGGGGGATTTAGCTCAGTGTTTCCACCGCCTGCCTCGAAAGCACAAGGTCCAGAGTTTGATCCCCAGTGCCAAAAAATAAAATAAAATAAAAATAAATAAATATATATATATATGAAGGTTATTGTTAGATATGTTAACTCATATCCTGTTAATGTTTTATATATGAATTAGCTTTATTATTATTATTATTGACTTTCTCAAGTTTTCTAGATGTACTGTTATATCACATAAAAATAAAGAAAGTTTTACCACACATTGAGTATCTTTTATTTGAAATGTTTGGGACCAGGAATGTTTCAGATTTTGGAAGCCTTTGGATTTGGAGCTTTTTCAGATATTTGTATATACATACTGAGATATCTGGGGATGGGACCCACATCTAAAGACAAAATTCATTCATGTTTTATATACACCTTATACACATAGCCTGAAGGGAATTTTATACAATATTTTTATGATTTTATGCCTGAAACTAAGTTTTATGTTGTGATATTTTCTATTTGTGGCATCATGTTGTTACTCAAAATGCTTCCAACTTTGGAATATTTTGATTTTCAATTTTTACATTAGTGAGTGATACTTATACTTTGTGATCCATTATCAGGTCCCTAATTGGTTTCTCCTGTCTAATTGTGCTAGCTATATCTCTAGTAAATGGTGATAATAATGAGAAGCCTCACCTGGTTCCTAATCTTAGTGGAGATGCTTTTAGTGTTTTCCCCATTAGATAAGATACTGACTTTAGTTCTAAGGTATAAATATTTTCTCATGTTAAGAAGGTATAGCAAAATTCTTATTTTGTTGGGTGTTTTTCTCGTGAATAGATATTTTAACTACCATATTATTTTGAAAACCGACAGAGGGGAAAAAAGCAAGCATATTTTATGCTTTTTCTATATGATCTATGCTAAACACAAGCTTGGGTAAGTTTCTCTTTATGGAATTATTCCAACTAATAAACAAAAAAGAAACTATCAAATAAGAATATCTCTATTTTGCTTTCCCTAATGAAATACAACCACTTCTAATTGAAGGCCATCAATGGATGCATTTTCACAAAAAAGAGAGATACCAGCCATTACATCCCTCCTGATAAAAGCATACACCACTACCCATAAAGGAGTCTTGCAAGAAAAGAATAAGACAGAGACAGAGAGACAGACAGAGGGAGATCATGAGGGAAGAGAGAAACAGAGATGGAGCTAGAGATACCTGAATCCAGCCTCCAGCTCTAACTACCAATTTACAAGAAATACACAAGATAGAGGGAAATGTCAAACAATTCCACAAGGATGCATTCAGTAAAATATAGTCATGGAAACTCTATTGAACTAATGATCTGATCTCTTCAACAAAGAATTTAAGGGGGAAAAACAAGAGCAGGATGGCAGGAAATCTATATATTATTTTTATCACACATGTAGATATAGTTATAGAGTTAAAGAAATTTCAAAGACCTATCAACTACCTGAAATGCATGGGCTTTATTTGGATCTCAATTCAAATAAAAACATTTATAAGACAATTGAAGAAATTAATATTTGCCAGATGTTTGATTAAGGAATTATTGACTATTAATTAACTACGTTAATATTTTGGTTGCTTTGGCTAAAATAAGTCTGTGTCTTTTTGGATACATATGAAATATTTACAGGTGAAATGACATTATGACTAGTATTAGAATGAAGGTAGTAGTATTTTTGAAATAAGATTGGATGTATATTGACCATGCCTGAATCTGGAGATAGGAGACACCAGCTTCATTATTGTCTTACTTTTGTATATGTTTGAAATAGTCTGTAAAACAGATTTTTCTTAAAGTTCTACATTTGCCATATTTACCAAGCAGGTAAAAATGAGATTATGCACTGTGAAATGTGGCAGCAACAACTGAGCACATCCCTACCATAAGCAAAGGTCACCCAACTCTCTGGAGCTGATGGCCAGGTTGTTTCCAAGTACCGAGGTAAAGCGCAAATGGCCATGAAGCTACCCCTGGCAGCCACCTTCTAGATCTGTTTGCACAGGCACAAAGAGCACCCAAGGCTCCTATGATGCAAGGGTCCCAAGAGTTGTGGAGGCACAGAACAAGACTAACTGACTTTCCCCTAGAGCTCAGTACCAGAAGTCCTGCCTTCCTTCCCACTCCTCGAGGACTCCCAGCTCCTTGGATTTCTCCCTCCCATAAGGAAAACCCCAAACTTACATCATTCTCCGAGGTCCCACAGAGAATGCAGGATTTGCATTCTATGCACTGCCACTTGTAGGTCTTGACAGCCTCGGTCATGTTCAGGGTGAACTGCAGGCAGGTCGGGTGACCTGGAGGAAACCAGAAGCAGCAGCATTAGGGCCAGAGAATGTCACCTCCACACCTCTAACCAAAAATACATTGATGCCCAGCATGGAAAGAGGTGGGGGCAGCATGGACTGAGAAACAAACTGGGGATCTGGATGAAGCTCTACCCACACTTCTTACCACCACCAGTTATAGCAGATGGGGGCCCAAAGAGAGAAATGAGTATTAACCATCTTACTAGGGACAGGTTTCATCCAATTCCCCTTGCCTCGAGAGCCACATTTCCCCTTAGGTATATCCAGTTGATGAGAGCACAAAAAGGTTATCAGAGAAAGCCAAAAGGGAAATTGCAGAGTACACAGCACCAGGGAGCACCTTGAGAGACACCGGCATTATCTCCCAGGTCCTAGCTTCAGTTGTGGCAGAAACAACACATAAGAGCTACTTGAAGCAGAGCCTTCCTGTTCACAGTCCTTTAGAATACAGGGGAGGGTGCCAGAAAGGTTTCCAGGAACAATGTTCAGGGGTGATTGTGGCATTGGCATTGCACTGTTATCTAGAGTATCTATGCCCACAGTTGAGAGAGTAGCAAAATCCCAACCCTGAACAGTCACAGGAACTATAGTAGGAAGGGACCTCCAAGGAGGACAAAAGAATGGAACATGATAGCAAATAGCCAGGTCTATCTAAAGGAATCAGTCACTGGTTCTAATTCTTTACTCCATCCCAAGCATCATCTTAGCCAAGCCAATAATCAAATCAAGGGAGGGACATTAAACTATGGTCTTATAGCACACAATATCAAAGGAACATCTGAGGCCCAGACTGCAGAGATGGACTCTTCTTAGCCCTTACCCACTTTAATGAGATCCCAGCTATGAGCTGTAGAATGCAAAGATTTGGCAGGAAAGGGAAACTTGTGTGACATTTCTAGGTTTCCTGGTTCTGTCAACTATACAGGAATCTTCCCAGAACACCCATTTTTGATTCTTCCATGAATCAACAGCTTTGCTCAACACTGAGAGCTCTACCTTCTCCAGAGCTCTCACTCTGCCAAAACCACTGTATAGTGCATATGTGGCCTCTTTCATGTGAGGGATTCTGTGCTTTAAAGGCTACTGTAGGCAGGTGACACCAGTTAGGGCTAGCTCCACCCACCTACTGCCCTCCATAGACAAGATCCCACATGGTACTGCTAATCCCTGGCAAAGCCACGCCTCAAGAGGAGGCCACACTTCCTCCCTTTCAAATCTTCAGAAAACTGGTCACATCATATTCATTTGGTTGAACTCCTGTTTATTCAATCAGCATAGGGACATATCAAAGTTTGGACCCCACAAGTACAATCCACACTAATGTGTCTTGAAAGCTTGGGAGCTGGAGTGGAAATAACTGGATGGTTGGAGTAGGGGACACTTAACAAATCTAAAACCTTTGCAGAGGTTGGTCAGATGCCATCCTACTCAGAGAATCCCACAGTTCTGAACAATTAACCCTCCCAGGGTGACACCACGCAGTAGTCCTGAAGAGAACGAATCCTTACATTGAAATCCTGGGAGAATATCCAGCTGATATTCTCAAAGGCTGATCCTGCTACCAGGGGAGAGACAAGGATGATTAGATTAGGGTGAAATTTTGAAAAATAATTTTTAAAATAAATGACAAGGGATAACTAGTTTGAATGTTGGGAATATGGGAAAGTGATGAAAAATAGCACCAAATGTCTGACCCAAGAAGTTAGGTAAATAGCAGAGAAACTTACTTAGATGAAGAAGACTAGAGAAAGAATATAGGGAAGTAAATGAAGAAGGGGATTCATTCTGTTTTGAGTATGTTGAATTTGGGAAGACTGTGATTTCCAGTGGAAATGTCAAGGAGGTAGTAGAACATATGGGTTTAGAGTTCAAAGGAGTACAGACTAGATACAGAAATTTAGGAGGTTTTGCTAAATAGGGTAACTGAAACCATGAGAATCAATGAAATTATCTAGGGAAAGGATAACAAGAGGAGAGAAGAAAGGAGAAGAAAGAAAACAGGTCTAGGACTGAGCTTTGAGGAACTCAATTATTTAAAAATCATGAGATAGGAAGAAAATGTTCAAATGGGAAAGGGAACAAGGGAAGGGGAGGGGAAAAGGAAGAAAAGAAAAAAAGAGCATAAAAGGAAAAATGGAAACAAAGCTTTTGTAACTAAGGAGAGGAAGAGGGGTTGAAGGGAGTGGAGGGGACTGGGGGAAAAAGAAGGATCAAGATGTATCACATACAGGTACAAATTCCCTATGATGAATGTGATCGTTACGGATATCTAAAGTGTACACATGAAATTAACTTTAAAAATACAACAAAATAAACTTTTAAAGTAAAAAAAATAAAATAAAGAGAAAAAAAAAAGACACCAGAGAAAACAGAATGATAGCCACAGAGGTAAGAAGCAAATTGGGCAAGTAGAGAGTGACGTTAGCCAAGAGATTTCAAGGAGAAGGTGATCAGCTGTGTTACTTTCACGGGTTCTCAAGGTTGTCATTGCTCTGTAAAGATCTTGAGTGAGGGAGCACTGATACATCTGAGGGAGGGCTGTCCTTCTAGTAATAGTACTCCTCAGCAAGGGCATCTTCCAAAGAAGGAAGACCAGTGGATTCCATTGTATTCATGAGATGGAACTCAGCTGCCAACTATACATGTGGACCTCTGTGTGCAAGTGAGGATGGGGGTGATACGTACATCTCATGCACCCAGTAACACTCCACAAGTACATGTTGAGAGCCAACTCTGTGTTCAAGTTCTCTTAGACCATCCTGAGCTCTGAAGATATTTTCTAGGATCACTTTGGACCAATAAATGATAGAAGGTGGGTTTTGAAAACTCCTGTGGAAGTCTGAAAAAAAAAAAAAAGCCCATGGCTTTCTCTGTGTTCTCATCTTGAGAAGCTTCCCAAACACCTTCAAACCTAAAGAAAGGGAACTAATCTCACACAGTCTGTAGCCTTCCGGTGAAGTATAGAACTAAGCTGAACCTCAGCTCTGGCTGCAGAGCTCCTGCTCCTCAGAACTTGAGACATCATTCAAGTTCAAGAGGAAAGAAAGGGATGGAAAATTACAGCCAGGGATAGGATGGTACAAAACTTCAGTCACACAAGCAACTATCAGCATTTGCAAAAACTATGCCCAGAATTAAATCCTCCTGTTTGTGCCACCATACCAGGTTGGCTGTCTGTCATTGCTCACCAGAAATTGGAAAACTATCTGCCTCATAAAACTGCAAGAATAAGACTTCTTATGCATCATGGAAATGGCTTAATAATGCACACTGTTGGACCAAAGGAAACGTTTCTAAGGAAAGTGGTAGAAGCTCATTTCTAAATTTCACTGCTGGAATTCTATTTTTTCCCAGAGCTAATTCCTAAAGTACTCAGAAGTAAGAAAATAACTGATACAGTGTTTCCAGTACAAGGGTGGAAGAAAAATTGGTGTAAAACAATTCACTTATGGTCACTTACTACTTGAGGATTCCTATCTTAATCTGTTTTGTAAAGTTAACCATGATTTGCTAATGTACTTGCTTGGAAATCTAGACTGTTCATATCTCCATTCTCTTAAACAAGGAAGACAATTGCTACTTAAATAGCCCAATGTATTGAAAGGGAAGCAACTCTTCCCAGTTTCCCCTGGGTACAATGATTCAACAGAACATTTATAAGATTTCAATTACCAAAATAATTTAAAAAGTGATGAAGTGCTCATGATTCATACCAGTCAGATCATTAAAAATCAAACCCTTCTGAGAGTTTCTCCAAATTTGTTCAGTCTAGAGGTTCCATCAAGTTTCCTGCCCACTCATTTAGTTGGCCAGATAGTGAACTTGGTGTAAAGAGATATTTCTGTCATCTCCCTCTAACTCCTTCCAAAGCTGACCTCAATCCTCCCCACAGGTTGAAATAGGAAATGTCACTCATGGCCCCATCTCTAAGAGACCTAACTCCTAGGACCGGGCTTTCAGATAATAGGGATTTGGCTTTCAGGGTACTATTTCAGCAGATGGGGAAAAAAGAGAAACCAGTAGGGTGCAGGAAAAGTCTTAGGATAAGATAGACCACGTGGCTGAGAGTACCTGTTGTTAATAACACTACAGTGTCCTGAGCTCAATAAAAAAAAAAAAGATGAATTTCTGGAAGTAATCATTGCTGCCTCGCCACTCAAAAGACATTTCCTGTCTTTAAGGATCACACATGCCTTGATGCTGAGAATGGACAAGGGACAGCAAGTGGTATTCCATGATATTTAATTGAGAAATCAAATAAATAAATATCCAGTCAAAACCAGTGTCCATGCCATATTCACAGATGCCTGTATGCTCCTGCACAACTACCCCCACACCTGGATACTTCCAACTTTTTAAGGGAGAAAATACCTGAATACACTGTGTTGGTTAGACTCACAATATGATTGTGATTTAGAAGCTAACACAAAGCATTAACCAGTCAATCTCATTCCATAAATATTCAGTACAATGAAAGAAATATAGCTCGTTTTCAATAAATCCTGGGCAAAAACAAATACACAAACTGCTATGATGTGTCTCTTACATTATGATCCTTATTAAAAGAGTTTCTTATTTCATTATTGCAGTATTTAATTTGGACTAGGCTAAGCCATATCACTGATTAAATTAGAGGTCTGGAGAAAAAATTTATCTTGCTAGGTATGCACTAAAACATAAATAAAATAGATACAAATATCTGTATGACTAGCGTGGTCTATTATTTATTCATTGTAAAATTACAAACATCTAATTGTATTTTATTACCTTATTTATCAAGCTCTTAACTAATTTGTCAGGGAAGAAGAACCTAAGTATACACGGGTCTCAGGAAAGTAAGCACAAGGCTCAAACTGTGCTCCCTAGTTAAATGCTTGGTTTATAGAAATCATAAAATATAAAACACATAGGATCAATTCCAACCTGAAATAGCACCCAAAACATGTTTCTTTGTGCACTCATTACAAAATAATTTGGCTCGAATTTCT